GACAAGGAGATGGTAAGTCTGAGTCATCTGGTTTACGGCCCACACTATACAGATTCACCAAAGAGATATCAAGCCTTCAGTTCATCTTATGTAATGAAAGCTTAGCCAAGGGTACAATATTGGTTAACAAAAAGAGGAGGAAGGTAATGTTTATTGAGCACCTATTATGTGCCCATAAATATATATTATCTCAACCTTGTGAAATGGGCTATATTAGCCCCTTTTTAATAGTTGAAAAAACAGAGGTTTCGGAGAGTTAAGGGACCTGGCTCTGATCACAGAGAAGTGAGTAGTGAAGCTGGACCCTGAACCATGCTCCGCACTCCTAGGTCTGTGCTCTTCGGCCCCTAAGCCCCTGATGTCCCTTCCTCCACCGTGGGCTTCACATGAGCAGGAGCTGTGTCCTTTTCACCAGTACCTCAGACTATGTATCTACATACAATACAGACATTCATTAAAGCAGAGCCTTTAGTAAGTTTGTATCAAACAAGTAAAATTGGACATCAGCAAAATCATAATAAATAAGTTGAGTCTTCCCGGGCAGTCACCCAGAATAAAGCTCTAGGGTCCTTTCCCATCACCTGGGAAGCAGCCACAGACAACCTTCAAACTCTACAAAGGCCCTTAGAGACAACCACCACGAGCTCCTGGGGCTGGCTGGGTAGAAAAGGGGGCAACTATACCGGAAGTGTCAGAAATAGGCAAGGGAAAGTGGTCATCCTAAAATCCGATGATAAATCACACAATAGCTTAGGGTTGACTCCAGGCTCCCAGTGCTACATAATGACTCTTGCTACGAAATCTTGAGTGATGTCTGATCAGGCCTGCATCAGCTAGCTGAAGCCACAGACGCGCCAACAGCCCGGAATGTCCAGGTCTCCCTTGCACGGCTGTCCGCACATTGGGCTGAACACCACCTGGCTGCCGTAGGCGCCCATTGAAAATGGTCCGAAATGAGGAGACACACAGACCGAAGTTATGAGGGCAAACTGGAGGAAAGATGAGAGAAATCATTTGCCAAGACCCAAGGGCAGATGGTGAACAAAAGGGAAAGCTGAGAGTGAAGAGCCAGATCACACCCAGGCCCATCAGAAGCTGGAAGGGACCAGTGAGGAGGGTCCATTGCTCCAGGCTTCCAGCTCACTTCCATGGGCCGGCTGGGCTGGCAGGCTGGCCCAGAGGCAAAGGGCATAGCAAACATGACCCTCTGTCACCCCATCCTCAACAAAGCCAACCAAGCTCCCTGAGAGCCGGGAAGGGCCTATGCGGACCGCCAGCAGGTGGGGTAAGGTGTGTTTGAGATGGCTCCGAAAGTTTTCTCTTGCTAGGCAGTGGGAGAGATGGTGAGAACTGGGAGTGTGTACCTTTCCAGGAGTCATCTTCTCTGTGACACCGGGGGACGGTACCCCAGGACTCTGCCCTTGCTTCTGGAATCTGCTGGAGTCGGCCCACGGAAGGATTGGCCCAGTGTCTGACCCAAGGGCTTACGCTCCTCCAGTCAGTCCACAAGGGGAACCGCTCAGGCTGAAGTCATCATCCTCATCCAGCGAGAGGATCCCTTGCAGCCACAGATTTGCTAACAGAGTTTTTGAATCCATCATTAGCTCTTCAGAAACAATGAGGCTATTTCTTGCCGGCACTCGGGGATGAATGCGTGTACTGTGCACGCTGACAAACATCCTTTGCAGTCTATAAATACCACGGCACGTGCTCCCTACTCCAATGGGAATAAATCCGGTCCGCCTGCTGCAGACTCGGCGCAATCTCATTAGATAATTGCTACTGGAGAAAGAGCTCGGCGTGTGCTTCATACATCTGGCCTTCAGCAGCGTGGAACTTTTCCATGAAATGTATGCTCACGTCGGAGGCTGGCGGGATTCGCTTGGATGGAAGGCTGAGCTCGGATAAAGCTGCACAGCGCTGCAGGGACCAAATGTTCTGTTCGTGGACTCTCTTTCTAAAGAATGCAGTCAAGTTCATCTCAGACACACAAATAGTTACTTCTCCTATTTGCCTTCCTTTTCAAGAAAAGAGGGACTCATTATAGCTTCTTTCTCTCAAGGGTTAGCAGAACAAACTCGAAGCATTTTTACAGCCTCATAACCATGACCTTGTGGTTTCCTCCTTTTCAGACATCAAGACACTGGGGCTTAGGGAGGCGAAGTGGCTTCCCCAGGTTTATTCAGAGAGAAACAACAGATCTGGAATGCAAACCAAAGGTTTTCTGATTCTAGGTTCACTGCTTTCATCCATCTTCAAATCTATTGCATCTCAGGGACATTTTGTTTTGCCAAAAAAGTTTATAATACACTTAAAAGTTGCTTCAACATTCAACATGATTCTTCTATTCTAGATTTATATGCCTTAATTTTAAATTAGCATTGGTGACTTTTCTCACAATGATATTGTACCAGTTACCTTTCTGCTGACACCTGTAAATGTCTTGACAAATTGTGTTTGACTTTATTAATGTAGTACAGTCTCACAGTAAGATGCATTTATATTAGCACATCATTAAAATGAAGGGTTCCTCATAGCTGTGTAACTTCGGTGTATAGGCTGAATATCAGCCCCCAAAGATATCAGTTTCCTAAGCCCTGGAACCTGTAAATGTTATCTCATATGACAAAAGTGACTTTGCAGAGGTCATTAAATTGGGGATCCTGATATGAGGATGTCACCCTGGATTATCCAGGGTGGCTCCTAAATGTAATCACATATTTTTATAAGAATGAGGAAGAGAGAAGCGTGACGCGGAAGAGAAGGCGCATTGGAATGATGTATCCACAAGCTAGGCAATGTAGGCAGCTGCCAGCAGTTGAAACAGCCACCCAGTGGATTTCCCCTCCCCCACCCCGCTGGCCTCTAGAAGGAACTGGCCCTGCACCATCTTATTTTTAGCCTGAGACTCAGTTAAAAACTTCGGTTCTCCAGAGCTGTGAGGAGATATGTTTCTGTTGTTTTAAGCCAACACATTCGTGATAACTTGTCCCGACAGCCCTGGGAAACTAATGCTGGTAGGAAGGAGCCCCCCATCCCGTAAAGTGGGAAGGAAAACGGGGGAGCTGCATGCATGTCAGGAAAGCTGAGACAGGCTAACGCAAGAAGATGCTGCAGCTTTTCGTCACTAGATGCCTAACGGCATGGCAGAGCTTCCGATGGAAGATCACGCTAGGGACTGAGGTAAGAAGGTTCTGGGGAGACACTTCCAGTCGGCCAAGTCCCACAGGAAGTCACTACTGCACACACTGCCGAGTGCTCTCCCAAGCCGCCTCCAGGGATTCATATGTGATACAGGCAGAAACACAACTCCTATATGGCTCTGACCACAAGAGCTCAGACTGCAAGGTGCTAGGCTGGGCCGCTCCCCTTCAGAGCCCCCCAGCGGAGAGAGTTCTGAGTTCTTGCAGAGCCACCGCTCTCCCACTGCAGCTGCACTCTGGGTCGAGGAAGGACCTCCGAGGCTGCTCCGGCTTCCAGGGCTTCCTAGAAAGCACCGCTCTATCAGCTCAGCAAACGGGTCCGCCCTGTGCGTCGGGAGAGGAAAGGTACGCAAGCCTGCGTTTCCCCTTTCTACTCCTATCCTAGAAAATCAAAGTCAGACAGAGTCTGTTGCTCTGTGTCTCTTCGGACGACCCCTGTCCTCACGTGTCCTTAAATTCACTCCTGAACATCGCAGAGTGGGAGGCGTGGCTCTGGAATCTGGCACCACGTTCCCAGCCCAACCCCTTTACTCATGGCGGGAACATCAGCAAGCCCCTTTTCCTGTGACCCTGTTTCCTCGTCTTAAAGTGGAGACAGTAATAAACCCTGATGCGAGGAATACTGTAAGGAATAAACAAGATTACATAGGTAAAGCACTTACGTAGTAGTTTATTGTTATCCCTATTGCTATTATTACTACTTTACTATTACTGTCTTATTACCATCACTGTTACCATCACTATTACTGTTACTCCTAACCGGGAAATCTTTAATAACAACAGACCCCACATTCTACTGCTGTGCTCCAAAACTGTATTTCTGCCAACATTAAAGGCATTTGGGGGAAAAGAAAGGTTTTTTAAATGGGCAAAAGGATGACATCCATGCATGTAATAAGCCTCCAGACTTAAAAGTGGCCACAAACCCTGTCGGTTATATCCATTTCAGAAGTCGCAGAAACATTCAGGGGAGTGATGAGTCAGAGTTACCTTCATCAGATAACCTACAGACAATGGCCCTTCAATGAAATGCACCCGCAAACATAGAAAGGTGGGTAAAAATCCATGTGGCTCTTCCATCCACATGCTCTCAGGAAAAGAACCCCTCCTGACAGCATGAGTTAGAGTCACCGTACATCTCTGAAACGAAGGTTTTAGCTGAATTCCCTCCGCATGGGATGGAATTGCTGTCACTGCTTGGAAATTAGTACACTTGTCTTCTTTTGTCATGAGGGGTTTTTACATAAGATGCAGACATTACTGTCTCTAAGACTGCTTTCAAAATGTGGGCTCATCTTACAGGTGCTGGAGTAGCTTTTTTCAATGACTTAAAATTCCACTGCTCTGGCCATAACGAATCACATTTGTGTGTTTGTACATTTCTCCTTCCTCCCATTAAGGCAATGTGTATCTCTGCCACTGAGCAAGGAGGTTCACTCTGCTCTGCGTAATTTTCAGGTGACCAAATTTTATCCCAGCAGTAGAAATTATAAAATGCAAAATACATACTGGAATCGTATCTGTAGGGGCCCATGTTTCATTCATAGATGTCAATTTGACTACATCCTCAATATATATGTGTTTAATCAGTTTACACTGGACAGTGTGTTTTATGATGGACACTCTCTTCTAACAACCACCACACCCCCCTGAACCAAAGAACTAGCCCATTGTGCATCTAAAACTTAAAAACAGAAAGGACTCTGGGTGCTCCAAAAAGAGCATTTTCCTTCCAGCCCAGTTTTGAACATACTGAAATGTACTCACTCAACAAAAAATCATACAGCCAAGACATTCTCCGTACTGAATTAGGCAGTTTATTAGGCTCCTAGTTTCCATGTCTAGAACATGAACATGGATTTACATGCACTGTCTCATGTTGTGGATCTTACATGCATGTAGCCTTCAGTCAGCTGGGCCTTGGATTCTACTTGTCAGCAATTGACAGCTCGGCGTGAGTAAAGGACAAACACGGAATGACACAGAAACCGCGGCGGCACATCCCACACAATACCATTTCTCTTTTTTTTTTTTTTCCAAAATCATATCACAACTCCTTCTTGTAAAAATAAATTTCAGCACTAGGCATTTGGTTCACCTCACTGAGAAAAATAAAGCGAATTCTATCATCTCGGAGCAATGAATGTCCAACTATGGCTGAAAGGTACACCCTGAGAATTAAATGATGTTAACGAACCCCTGGAGGTTTATAAAGCCGTGTCAACCTGTCACCGGGGAGGGACACAAGATGCGGGCGTGCACGCCCCTGCTCACTTGGCTGTGCAGTTCTCCAAGGAGGCCGTGTCGTAAACGTCCTCGTTGTCTTCGATGCTTGAGGCGTCCGTGGAGTCGGCATCGCCCATCACAATGCCCACAGAGGACAGGCTGGTAAGGAAGGCGTGCATCCGCTGTGCATAGATATCCCTAATGTTAAAGTAAGGTAGTTCGTGACACTTCTCTGGGGGCTCCTCGCCGCCCTGGTCCACATCGATGTCCTTCTGCTTCTGGTAGTACTTGGAGAACTTGTTGAAGATAATGGTGATGGGGAGGGCCACCACCAAGATGCCACAGATGATGCATGTGCTGGCGATGAGCTTCCCAGCCAAGGTGACCGGGTGGGTGTCTCCATAGCCCACAGTTGTCATGCTGATGGTGGCCCACCACCAGCAGATGGGGATGCTGGTGAGGCTGGACGCGTGGTCATCTTTCTCCACCGAGTAGATGAGCACAGAGAAGATGGAAATGCCCACAGACAGGAAGAGAAGCAGCAGCCCAACTTCATGGTAGCTGTGCCTCAGTGTGGCGCCCAGGGACCGAAGGCCGACTGAGTGCCGGGCAAGCTTGAGAATCCGGAAAATCCTCATCAGCCGGAGGATCTGCACCACCTTGCCCATGTTCTCGATGTCCTCACTCTCGTCCTCCTTGGTGTCTACAGCCAGCGTGGCATAGAAGGGGATAATGGAGACGAAGTCGATTATGTTCAGGGGGTTTTTCCAGAATTTCTTTTGACAGGGAGCGGCCACCAGGCGGATGGCAAGCTCACCGGTGAACCAGGCAATGCACACGATCTCCACCCCCTCCAGCACGGGGTCATCCACCTCCCCGTCCTTGTTCTGGAACTCCGACATGCTGTGGACGCACATGGCCACGATGGAGGCCAGCACCACGCTCAGGGAGGAGATGGCGATGAGCTTGGCGGAGAGGCAGTAGGCCGGGTTTTCCATCCGAATCCAGATCTTCTTCCGGAGCTGACCGAACCGCAGCGTGTCAAACTTCTCCAGCTCCTTCTCGAACAGAGAGGACTCTTCGAAGGAGGAGTCGGTGCTCACGTCGTTGCTTTTCTGGTCCCAGTCCTTCTCGTGGTTCTCATCCTTGCGTTCCTGGTAGCGATTGCTGCAGCAGGAGTCGAGGAAGAGCTCGTTGATGCCCCAGTACTCGATCTCCTGGCAGAACGAGAACACGCACAGCTCCTCCATGACGTGCAGCTTCCCCGTGTAGTAAAAATTCAACACGTATCTGAACAGGGAGGGGTTCCGATCAAAGTAGTACTCTTTGTCGGCCACACTGTAGTCATCGCACAGCTCCAGAATGGCCTCTTCCGAGTGGCAGGTGAGCAGCTTCCCAAGTCTGGTGTGTGGGAACCGCAGGAGGGTGCTTTGGTCGACGGACTGCTTAAAGCCCCCCACGTTCAAGTTGACGAGTTCCTCGTCTTGTCCAGGGCGATGGAAAAACTCACCAAACACCATGGTGGACGCAGGAGGCAGAGAGCTGGCTGGGAAGGAAGACGAGGAGGTTCACGCTGCACCTGGAAGGAGCAGAAGACGGCATTAGCACTGACCCGCGCGGCCTGGCCAGGCTTGTTTCTTTCTCATCTGCCCTTTCCAGGGCGATGGGCGACATTCACAGTAAAAGCAGGAAATGCAATAAAAAGGGATACTGCACTTACACATCTTGACTAAAAAAAAAAAAACATCAACACGAAATATCTTTTTTCAAAGACTGGAGTTCACAATCCATAGTTTAGGAAAAAGAAAACACAGCCACATAATGTTTATGAATAACAATTCTTATTGCTTTATCTATTAAGCAACCAAAATTTCCTTCCCACCCCTCAACTCCCAATAAAAAGCAAGGCATTTGGGATCACTTACACAGTACAGGCATCTCCAGTCTCAACCAAGAGGAGCGGGTGTTTGGATGTGCTCAGCACAGACGTGACAGGCTAGCACTGCCTGGCTCGCAGCTAATCTCTCCTGGTGCCCAGGGCTCGGTCATGCACCCTCAAAAAGAGATCTCTCCCCTCTGCTCTGCACCCCGCCCCAACCCACACTCCACTGGGGGCTCACCTCAGCTCTCCCAGAAGATGCACGTTTCCCCTTATGTTCCTATGTTTCACTCCTATAAAAGAAAGCCCTGTTCCTTATGTTTCACTGTGGACCATCAAGGGGATACAATTAACTCCCCATCCTCAAGCACCCTATATCTTAAAGATATCTTTACACGCAGAGGATGGTGTTTCAGATACACCCACAGCGGAAGAAACTGGGGAAACCTTTTTAAATTAATTGCACTATCAGCTTCCCTGACACAAACTCTTCTCCCACCTCCTCCCTCCTCTCACAGACGGTCTCCCACACCCTCCCAATCTATGCTGGCACCCAAGTCTATGCCGGCCCAGCACAGGGAGCCTCCTTTCAGTCCTGACACTAACGCGGATGGATTGTACCAGACCCACTTCTCAGAGAGAAAGTGATAGAGTCTGACCACCATTCAGTACAGTGGTGCTTCCTCAGGACAGATGATGCAGGTAAACCGAAGGTAGGAGACTGTCACACGAGCTGAACAACAAGGGAAAAGGGAGTTCCCAACATCAGGCACCAAAGTGTGTGCAAAAGCCACGTCATGAATAGATAAGCCCTCTGTCTATAGATTCTATAGGTTCTATAGGTTCTATTAATGTCTGTAGGTTCTATAACGTTAACGTATGACGCAACCAATGTCACCATGGGCTAAATTGATATAAACAAGAGTTACATTCCTCTGGCATCTCATCAAAGCTGTAACAAAATAACGTTGAACGAAATGATGTTATTCAAGGACCTGCTGTACAACCAACCATCTGAAGAGTCTGTAGGCAAGACCACCGGACAATCTTAACCAGTGGGCAGACATGGTTGCATTTGTGACTGTGACTCAGAAAGACCCCAGGGTCAGCAGGGAGGAAGACTGCTGGGGGCATGGGCTGGGGCCAAGGAGATGGGATGCAAGAGCACAGGGAAGAGGGGGCGAAGGGCTCAGACTCAGACAGCGATGGTGTGAGGAAAGAGGAAGTGACAAATTAAAGGAACATTTACAAAGTTTCTAGAATTGACAGTACATAGAGGCTGACTGGCAAGAGGGAACAAGGGAGCTGGCAGGTTAAAGAGGGTGTGTTTTCTACTCTGCACAAGTGAACAGTTGGAGACTCCGCCAGAGGAAGAAACGATGTGGAGAAGGGATTTCTTGCCCCTTATGTTTCCAGAAAACCAAGGCTGTCGCAGACACAAGTGACCCCCCCTCTGCAAAGGACACACCAGAGGCCCCAGCCTTCTGCCACCCCCCGCAGCAGGAAGCGTGCAGTCACAGAGAAGACATGGGCATTTTCTCCCAGGACGCCAATGCTAAATGTGCTCCCTTCGCACCAGAGACCACAGCGTGGCCTGACGCACCATTTAGCAGATTTGCTGACCTCTTCAAAGAGACATGACTTCTTTCTGCCTCTGCTTTCTATTTTCACTTAGATGTCGTCTTTGAAGAACCTAAATCAGAGCTCATGGCTCGGTCAAATATTCATGGAACTTCCGCTCCCTGAAAGCAAGCTTCTGCTCATGGCAAGCACGGGAGTGAGATGCGCCAAGGAGCTGGTTTCAGCCAAGCCAGCATTAAGACTTTAATGGAAGCTATCTCCCGGTGGATTACTTTTCCTCTCCTCGGCTGTCCCAGAAAGCCACCATGACAGAGAGGACAGAGAGCCAGTGTCCGCCTGCACCACACTGTCTGCCTGAGTGGGTCTCCCAATCCTTGGGCACATGATCCATTTCCCAATCGTCCTGCAGTCACTTGTCTGAAGAACACGGTTATGGCCCCTAATATCAGTCCTCCAGCCTCTCCTCCTTGCTTGTCATTCACTCCACGCCAGTGAAAAGCCCATTGGGGGGACCCTTTATTCCACGAAGTCTAGTCATACGAGCAGCACACATCCTCAAACCAAAGGCTCCTTTTCATGGGGCTTTCCGAACAGAGAAAAGGAACACATCTGTGGATCAGATCAAAAGCTTTGGCTCAGTGGACAAGCTGAGCTTCTCCAGGTCACAGCAGCCAGAGCACAGGGTTGGTTTCCTTGGCTGTGTCTGGCCCACAGCAGGTGACCAGGGCACGGAAGAAGGAACTCCCACCTTTACACACTGCAGAGAGGTTCCTTTACAGGCCCACAGTGTCCCACGAATGCAAACTTTCCTTTTAGTATTTGTTCCCCACGCCCTCTAAAACAAGGGTAAAAAGCTGATGGGGAATTTCATTACAGGTAGATCAGAGTAACAGAGTACCTGAACCCACTGATCAAGTCTGATATAGCAAAAAAGAGACCACAAGATATAATGTACCTGCTGATGGAGATATTTACACAATTCTGCAGTATTCCAACCAGCCCCACCCCCTGCCAAAAGAAATGCCTGAACTTGATCCAGCCTCTAGATCTTCCCATTGAAATCAAAGAGAGATCTCACAAAAACCTGTTCAATGACACTAGAGGATGCAGTCAGCAGAACCCAGACTCTGGGAAACCGTACGAGACAAGCGATGTGGACCAAGTAAGAGACATCAGGTAGGTTCCGTGTGTGGGCTGTGCATGGACCCCAACTCCAACTGGTCAAATGCTTAAAATAAAATGTGAAAATCAGTGACAGTTCCACACCAACTAAACACGTGATAACATAAAAGAATTATTGTTACTTGTTCAATGTGCTAGTAACATCACAATTAGGCTCTTCAAAAAAAATTATCTTTTAGAAGTATATGCTAAAATATTATGGATAAAATTATGCTGTGTTTGACATTTATGTCCAAGTAATCTGCAGAGAGCAACAGGGAATGGGGGCACTTATCGTACAAGCTGAACTAGTAACTGTTGCAGCTGAGTGTTGGGTACAGAAACGTTTAATGTATTAGAGTCTCTATGTTCGTACACGTTAAAATTCCCCACCAAAAATGGCTTCAGGAGAATTTGCTAAGCACCTTTTTGGGCCATGTGCCATGGCAAGTGCTTTAACATACACGACTGTTCATCCTTTCATCCCCAGCGATCTGTGCAGCTCCTGGACACCGGCAGCGATCACTGAATGAGTTAGTCATGCCCTATAATTCTCCCAGCCATCCTAAGGTCTTATATCCCAATGTCGCAAATAGGGGAACCTAAGGATCAGAGTTTAGGCAACATTATCCAGCTTTTATGGGGAGGACTCTTTCCACTGTGCCTCAAATATGAGCATTTATTTATTTTTTTTCAAAAAGTGGGAGGAAGGAGGGACTAGCTGATCTTTAAATTTACATATTTTATTGTCATCTTTATTAAAGAATGCCATACTCTTTGGTAAGGGATTTTTGTTACTAGCACGCCAAGGATGCACAGGACCTCAAATCAGGCACATCTGTGGGTACAGAAGGCATCCGGACACAAGACAGAAAAATCAACTACTATTTTGATTCTCTTCCTCAAGAAGGGATTAGGCTCGCGGAATCGATCTCCCTGCTACTATCAATCCAAACCACTTGTTCTGAGAACACTATACACTGCATTTGCACACCCTGTGCCTCTTGCTGTTTGTAAGATGGAAAAGAAAGACAGAGATGTCAAAAGTCCGAGATATTCATGGGGATCTTAAAGAAAAATTATATTGATCCACTTCACCCCAATTGATACCTGTTAAGCCTTTTCAAAGCCATTCACCTCTTCCCTCTCTCTCTGCGGCTTGCCCTCAAACTCCCATGAAAAAATACTCTCGAGCCCTGGCTGGCGTAGCTCGGTGGATTGAGTGCGGGCTGGGAACCAAAGTGTCCCAGGTTCGATTCCCAGCCAGGGTACATTCCTGGGTTGCAGGCCATAACCCCCCAGCAACCGCACATTGATGTTTCTCTCTCTCTCTCTCTCTCTCTCTCTCCCCCTCCCTCCCTCCCTCCCCTCTCTAAAAAAAAAAATACTCTCGAAGCCATGTCTATTCAAGGCTGACACACATGTGTGTACATGTGTGTATCAGTGGCTTTGATATGCACTCGCTTAGCTCAGAAAAGTAACACAAGTGTAACAAATACAAACCAGTTTTCAACTGGGCAGAACCACTTTTTAAAGTCAATTCCATAAAAGGAAATGAAAACCTAGATTCCTGTTTTCTTCCCGCTAGTCCAAAATCTACATTAGTCCTTCCATCAGAGAAAAAAAAGGGGGACATTTTTCTGTATTAATATTGCATCTGTTGAGAACTTTCTTCTAAAAAAGATGCATTTCATTCTATTAATTTTTAAATTATTTTTGTTTTTAAAAAGGGTAGGCTGTACTAAATTCTATTGCTGTCTATGCTATGTGAGAATATTCCAAATAAAACCAAGAAAATGTAAAGAGAACTGAAAATCTAAACTCAACCCACACTCACAGATAGAGCACACCACCCCACCAGGCCCCTGCCCCGGTGATGGCCGTGTCTTAGAGCAAACCCCCAGTGCACTGGCACAGGTAACACATAACGAGAAAAAGAGAAAGAGAGAGAGAGAGAGAGAGTGCATAGGAAAGAAATAATGGGGCCAGAAAGAGCAGGAAAATTGTCAACAAGATTATACAGTGCACTCTGATGGTGAACATGGAAATGGAAAGGCTGGTGGTCCTTGGTTCAGGTCTTCGTGAATCAGAGTATTTTCACCACAGCTAACATAGTGCAATCCTGAGAAAGAAGTAGCTGTTTATGTGACATCTAGAAACACATGCCTAGAGCCAGAGTGCAGAACACACAAAACTTCGAAGAGCCTTCTGGGAGTGTTTGAGTCTTTGTTTCCAGGGACCAGCGTTCCTGGGACATCCTGAGGCTCCAGCATGGAGCCACCCCTCCAGGAATCTTGCCAACAGCTCAGCCCAGCTCAGGGAGGAAGCCTGCCTACAATGTGGGCCCCCCTGGCCAAACAGACAGAAGGAGAGGGCCCTCCTCGGTCTGCCCCACCTGACGTGTTCTGACACCATGGGCACAGCTGACATGACACCCATGACACTGGGCTTCAAGTCACCCTATTTCAGAACATTCATAACCGAAGCCCAATTTTTACACGTTGAACCAAACAAAATAAATGCACTGGGTCCCCTCATCTATGCTGAACTAAAAAACAGAGTAAAAGGCTGGGGACCTCAAAACTTGTCTTGGAGTTGCTATTTCCCAGCTATCTGACCTTGAGAGGGTTGATTCTTGATCTATAAAAGATGACAGACACATTTTGATGGTAAATGACAAATGCAAAATCTTTCAAGAACAAAAGATACATATCAAACTTCATTCCAGAAATAGGAGGTGGAGGTAACAGCACCTCTACCTTCCCCTTCCTGCCCCCGGACCTCTATTAGCGAGACCGCCCCACTCCTGCAACGCCAGGGCTCCCCGTAATGCGCACAGCTCATCTCCAAGCAGAGGACTGCTCAGGCAGCTGAATGACTTCATGAGCCAAGTAGCAGAAATCAATCCTATTTGTGAAGAGCAAAGAGTCATAGATGAAAGATTTTCACCCAGAAACAGGAAAAATGTGGACTTTGCCACAAGAGGGGAGCCTCACCTCTGCAGTAGGCACACCATCAAGTCTCCAAAGGAGTCCCTTCACATGCAGGAACCCACACAAATGGCTAGTGGTGATGCTCCGGTGTCCAGGGAGGGAATGTTAGAGAATCTGAATTCAGTTAGACCAAAGTAATAGTTCTCCTGCCCAACTTCCAAACTCTACTCACCTTCTCCCATAGTCCTTCGGTCCACTTTTATTTTAGTACCCACCACAAGATACTATAATGTGCTTTTTTTACAGGTCTCCTCCCTCCCCAACCCCCTGCAAATCGAATCATCATTGTCATTAGACTCTAAGCTCTTCCATGGAAGCGATTACTTATTGTCATCTCCACAGCCCCAGCCCCTGGTGCTAACGGATGCCCATAGTCTAGTGAAAGACCTTCCCTTTTATCAGAAAGAGTTAACAAAGGCTCTAATGTTTTTATCAAAGAGCTGACAGGATGATCAAAGTAGGCATGATGAAACAAAATGCCTCCAGTGGCCAAATAAGCGAGCTAAACAAATGAAGTGGGTTGGTTGGGGACGGTGTGGTAAACCGCCTGCGGTTGTTTGTTTGAGAGGCAGAGGCTGCCCAGGGCCAGAGCTCTTTGTGGGAACGGAGGACCAAGGTGGATGTATTTTTGGTGCCCCAGGACAGCCCGGAAGCCCTGCCCTTTATGTAAGATGTCTTCATTTTAACTTGAATGGATCCACCATGTTTTCAACATCATGTGTCTCACTGAAAATGTGTCTGTGGGCCCTGGCTGGTGTGGCTCAGTGGACTGAGTGTGGGCCTGAGAACCAATGGGTCACCGGTTCGATTCCCAGTGAGGGCACATGCCTGGGTTGCAGGCTGTAGCCCTAGTGCAGGGCACATGAGAGGCAGCCACACATTGATGTTTCTCTCCTTCTCATTTTTCTTCCCTTCCCCTCTCTCTAAAAATAAATAAATAAAATATTTTTTAAAAATGTGTCTCTGGGTCAGGTACTGCCGATAAGCCCCCCCCCCACCCTGTGACCTGAACCAGACTCTTACCTACCCCCCAAGCTCGACAGCACCCACTGTAAGTCAAACCAACTCAGATGGACATGAAGAGAATCTTGTCACAAAAATAGTAGTGTCACTCTCTTCATTCTGAACTACCCATGTCAAAAGCAGGGGTGGGCAACGTGGTCCCTGAATCTCCCTGGGCTGGCCTGCCGCATCCCTCGGCACAGCTGCAACCCAATCCTCCCAGGCTGACACTTTCCCTTCCTCCTTAGTCATCTGCCCCCACTGCTCAGTGACTTCACAATCAAAGTAGTCTCCCTGGGGTCTCACCTTCATTTCTGTCTCTACGTTGTAAGGTTCGTTCTCCCCTTCCTTTGACCAGTAATGGGGCCAGAGAAACAATCAGAGAGGAACTCTTACCCGTGTGGTGATGACGTCTCGCAGTCTGCCCTCATCCTGGCCAGCGGAATGTCCATCGTCATGCATGAAGCTCCGCCCTTCTTCCCCCACTGGAATGTGCGGTGCACAGAGGCATTTAGTGGCCAAAAAGAAGAGAAGAATCTTGTTCTCTGGTGGCACAAAGAAGACCGCTGGGAAATCACTCTCACCTGCAGAACAAACCATCAGTCAAGTTGTAACTCCGTTGGAGGAAGCACACCCAAGACAAGACACTCTATCTCAGATTCTGCACAAGGGCATTTGACTGATTAGCCCGCATCTCAGGCCCCGCCTAACTCTCAGGGAAGAGTCTTTCCTTCCCCCCATGGAACCATCACTCCCACTGGACACGTGGGTTGAGAACCATCATCACGGAGACTCGAGAGTCACAACCACTCTCAGGCTTAAGGACTCTCAAATCTTGACTGTAGTGGACACTTGGGGCATCTCCAGGGACCCCAAAGCCAACAGAACATCCAACTACAAAATAAGGCACTAGAATTATGACTGCCCTCACTCATCCCTCCCCCCCAGCCCAGTTTCTTCCAGGAGTGTTATTTTCCTAGCTAATCCATCAAGAATATACTTAGAAATCTCTAATGAATACATTTTAATCCATTTCCAAGACCAAGTTCTCAGTGTGACTGCCCTAATAGAATTAACACTGCTGCTCTAATTTAAAATCAATAGGTTTCGAAGGCTGGCCAAATTCAATTTTGCTTTATTTGTGCACTGTTATATTTCACAGATGAGAATGACTACAGGAGCTGATCAGAATGTGCTGGTTAATGTATGCATGTGTGTATATGTCTGTGTGTGTCTGTGTGTGTGTCTGTGCGTGTACGGGTGTATACAGAGGGAGAATTAAGTTTGTATCAAAACAAATAAAAGCACAAATTTCAATTCTCTCTCTGAATAAAATAAAGAATGCAAAAAAAAAAAACCCAGCTCACCACGAGGTAAGCCTTGCCTCATGTTGACGCATTCTCTTAGCATTGTATTAGTATCTAAGCATTCAGCCATTGATTTTCACGTTTTCCCATCAATACCTGGTCCAAAGGTTTGGGGAGGAAGAAGAAAAGATTGATTCGGAGTCTCAGAAAGAGTCAAAGAAGTGCCTCTGGCTATTTCAGTCACTAAGCAAACATTCATTACAGTGTGAGATCTGCAGGGCATTATGCCCAGCTCTGGGATTACAGACAGCATGTGGGGCCCGCCCCTCTCCACCCCCAGGAGCCCACGGGCCCCCGACCACATGACACGATAAAGGTGTCCTGACAACAACAAGGAGGCAACGGAGAGAAACACAGCAGAGCAGTTTCCAAGCTGGTCCCAGCACCCTGTGCGCAGGGCGATCCTTCAAAGATTTTCCACCTCTAATAGAGTTGACAAGGGAGAATGATTCGGGAGAAAAACGCAGCTCCACCCAGACTGAACTCCTGAGGCAGGATTCTTGGAAGAAGAGGTGGAGAAATCTCAACAGGGATAAATAAAATCGTTTCAGGAGCTCAAATAATCCTCCTCCGTCTCCTCCTCCCAACCCTGCTCCAGGGCCTCCCCGCAGCCTCAGCTATCTGCATTCAAAGGAAACCAAGAAATGCTGCCGTGCCGCTTAAGACGGACGGTCTTCCTTTCCCTACCGGACTTCTTTCCAAATGCAGCACATTTTAAGGGAAGGGAAAATTAACCAAAATGAAAAATCAACAAAGTATTTAGGCTGCTGAGCATGTCTAAGAAACCCCAAGCACGGCTGGCCACCAGCTCATCACAGAAGGACAGGGCTGGCTTAGGGACAGACAGATTGTGACGTTAGCCAACTACTTTTTACAGAAACGGGTACCTAGTGGGCCCTCCGTCAATGTCTGGTGAATGAACTACATCCCGTCCTGTCCCTTTCTCTCTCCCGCTCCCCAAAACTCAGGATTCTGTGCCTTGCCTCATGTTCCATGACCGTGATTCCTGTCCAAAAAAGCTGGAGTTTGGAGGGGGAGCGGGGAATGTCATACTGGTCATACCCCTAGGTGTGAATGGATGTCAGTTCACACCCCTCTTAGGGCATTCGCATTCTAAGCACGACCTTCCCCACAGAAAATGATAACTAGCATTTTCTGAGTCCCCACACCATTCCAGGAACCTTCTCAGGGGTTTCACACGTCACCTCTGTCCTCAACCACCGTAGGTGGTAAATGCTGTCATTCCCATGTTCACAGGTGGGACGTGAAGGCTCAGAGAAGCTGTTTGCCCAAAGCCCCACACCTAATGAGTGTCGGAGCCTGAATTCCAGGGCAGGTAGGCCCGCCTGGTCTCCATTAGTATAGAAAATCAAGATCGTGTTAAGCTGCTGGAGAAGGTTAAGGCAGGACGGAGAGCCGTGGGCAGAACATGCCCCGAACCAGCAGGCTCTGGGGAATCAAAATGTGCACATCAAATACATTCTCCCAGGCCTGCTTCACAACCCGATTTCTCTGTGTTCTTGCCGTTCTCTCTCCGTGGGCCACCGACCAAAGCAGAGAGAGTATCGTTTGTGACCGAGCGCAGAAGCCGGTTTCCGGCTTGGCTGAGTGATTCATCAGGATCCTGGCAAAACACATCAGGTTCACGCAAGCGCTGCTCCATCTCTGCAGAATTCCTCTCTCCGCAATCAAAGGGGACACTCTCCGCATCGGCTCTGCACTTCCCTCCAGCCTGGCTGTATGTCCTGACAGGCTGGCTGCATCCCTCAGAACGGACACAACGGCTGCCTCCATTACTGGGGGTGGAACGGTGAAGCGAAGGTGGCACGTCAGACCCTTTCATCATCCAGAGACCAGACATCCGGTCTTGGAACGGAACGGAGAATATCAGACAGACAAGCAGACAGTGCACAGGAGAGGGATGACCCCTGGGCCCTCCTCCCCGGACTCAGAATCATAGGAATAAGGTTCCCTCCAAAATTTAAACGATGTACTCAATGCCTGAGACCTGAGAGATTAAAGCAGACACCGCAAGTGACAGGACAGCACAGATATGTGTCATCTGTACTCGCACAGAATCCTGACTGGACCGGTCATTGCCCTGCTCACATTCTTCTAAAATGTTGTCACCTGAATGCCACCCACTAGACTGAGAAAGCTTCCAGTTAGGGACCATGTCCTAATATCAGTCTTCACACTAATTATCTCTGATACCTAATGGTGCTTGACGCATTTTTATTGAACCAATTCCTCTCCCCCAAGCTGGCCAGACTATAGTAAATCAATTAAAAGAATCAATATAGATCATGAAAGAAAGCTGGTCAGCAATGGAAGCAAAGTGCAAAGGATCAAAACTGGTCACCAAGACCCAGCCCAGTACTTTCAAAGACAGTCTTATCTTAAAGACGCAGCCTCGCCAACCCCGATGGGATTCGTCTTGAGTGGAAGTTTCAGTGTCCAGACCTCAGAATTCTGGGTATCATGAGATAACCCCCAAATTTCCCCTTGTTCTGACTCTGGGCTCCTGGAGGTACCTCCTGATGATTTTGGTTCCCGGATACTTTGCCAACAGGGAACATATGAGCTATGCAGCCAGCACACACTTCGGCTCACTCCGTCCACTAGTGCTATGGCCTGGGGAAACTCGTAAGGCAGGACAAGGTTTATTACTCAGTTTCCTATGGGTTTCTATGCAAGTTGACCTCCTAAGTCTGATCGGCTCTGGGATGCTGGAAAGAGAGTTTGCCAAGTTGCAAGGGGGACAGCGAGCCTAAGCCTGACCTGTGATAAGATTTCCAGGTAAGTGGCACCTCTGGGCATCCTCGCGGCAGCCAGCCAGCTTCCCTGGAGACATGCTAGTCTTGCAAACTTCTACAGCAGGGTTTCTCCATCTCAGCCCTACTGGCATTTGGAGACCAGGCGATTCTTTCTGGCAGAGGCTGTCCTATGCCCTGTAGGACGGGGAGCAGCATCCCTGGCCTCTACCCCACTTCATGCCCGTAGCGTGTCTCCTCTCTGCCCCCAGGGTTGTGACAGATCATCTCCAGTTGAGAACCACTGCTCTAAAGTAGAGCGAAAGGACCACAGACACATGTTTGGTGGCTGTTTAAGTCCAGGAAGCTCAGAACGACAGATTGTGCTGATACTTTATCTGCTGACAGGAGCTGGGGATATCCCCCCAAATGCTTGATCTTTCAGAATCCAGTCATGTCATTTCTGGGTGTCACACAAGCAAAGGTTGGCAAATGAGAAAAGATAAAACGAAGGTTAGCCTCTTATTGAAATGCAAAGCACACTCCATGCAATTGGAGTCTAGAGAAAAGGTCAGTGACGTCCTCTGAGAGTCTGTCTTCTACCTGCTACCACGGACTGGGCCAGGATGACGCATGGGCACTAACACAGGTTCGGAGCTGTGAGCTGCACGGAAACTCTGCAGATGCTGGGCTCTGGCTAGCCACACCGACTCCCCACCAAGCTCCAACCTTGTGGAGACACATCAGACTCCCAGGGAACACGCAGATACATCTCTGTTTTTAATCTTGCCTCTATTCATCCATCACAGACCGATGTTCAATAAAATCTAAAATTAAATAACAATCATAATAATGAAAGGTGAAATTCAACCCTACCTCTATGTTGCCTAACTAATGAGAATTGTGGTCCAGGATTTTGCTTAAATAAAATTAAAATATCACAGCCAGACCACCAAAATTGGATTTAGAGTGCCAGAAAAATTACACTTATATTAAAAGTCAATAATTCAAAGCAATGAGAATAATACGATACCTTCTAGGTGATTCAGATAGATTACTAAGACTATGTCTGCACTAACTTTTTCCAAATTGTCAAATTTTAAGAAGTGCGTTAAAATATGAGAAATCCTTGAATTTACAAGAATTTTTTAAAATATTTTCTCTGTCTTAAGGAGAAAATGAAAACTTCTCAGAGTGGAATATATTCAGGGATTAAAAATAAATTTCTAAAAGTTCTGGTCTCCAGAGAGAAAACTCAGAAAGTGCTCTCCAACGTAGTGCCCCTAAATTATATCTAAAAGGTTAATATAAATTCTATTTCTCTTGGCTATCCAGAAAGAATGAATGCCAGGAACCCCTACGGCAGGAAGCACGGGTAACTACGTACCACTTTCCTCCCCTCCGGTTCTGTGTCTCTGGACAACCCGCTGGAGGGGCACGGGGAGGCGGCCAGCAAGACAATCG